TTTCCTATTTATTAGGTAGTTGAAAAGAAATATAATTTTTAGTAACCTCTAAACCATTACATCTAATTCAATCAAGGTGCATAGGAAGTATTTTAGTATCCATTCCCAAGGAAGAGTACCAGGCACTTACCTCTGTAAAAACATCATAATCCCCTTTCTCGCCGACATGCGTTCATTTGCTAAACGCTGTACAAGCCTATGATAATGATTAGCAATTGTTATCAAAACACTTTAAATACTTCTTTTGATTGATACTAAAGGTGGGATCTCTCGTAAGAAAAGCTAACATTTGCTCAGTACTGCTAAATTGGTTGAAATAATAGGTACAGTGCGATTTTAAAAAGTACAACACACATGTGCGTCTCTCGCTGAATAAGAGGTGCTTTCTGTTGACGACTGTATGTGGCTCTCGCTGTGAGAAACTGCTAATTACCTGCCCCATAAACACGTCACTCGCTGTGAGGAGCTGATTAATTTGCCCCATATATGCGTCTCTCGGCCTTAATGAGTTAATTATTGTATAAGACATTTATAACCTTCATTGGTCATCCCCCTTGGCTGTGTCTGCCATCACATCAACTGGTCAAGGATGTGCTATTGTTTTTCTGTCTGTCCATTGATGAGTCGTCGCCTGTCCATTGTTGTCAAAAACTGTATATATACTTAGTATGCTCACATCTAGACAGTGAAGGAGTTCGAGTTCAGTATTTGGACTGTCTGTTGGGACGACCACGAGCAGGATAATGCCGCTCGTAGGAAATGCCCTGGGGTTGAGCAGGTACTCCGCTCACCTCGCTCATGTCTTGTGTATTTGTTTGTCATGTACTAAAGACGTTTGAACTCAACTATGCCTTCGTCTTCATCAACGCACACTTCATCTTAATTATGAGCTAATTCCCCAGTTGACGTATATACCACGCGTTGACACTATTGTCATGTAAGTGGTAATAATTCCTGAGCATTAGAGAACAGATTGGCTTGCTTATTTTGGAATTTAATGCTTTCATAAACTAGAATCTCATGAACTATTTGTCTCTGGAATCATCTGTGATATGAACTTGTGTATAGTGATTTCTCTAGAAATTATTTAACATGATCTAAGATGAATAATGCATTAAACATTTAGTCACCTTTTATTGTCAATGACCAAATTAATTAGTTACACTATGAAGTTTTTAAGAAGGAATTCATTTGGGTTGTTTTTGCCTCAGTCCGCCCGTGTGTGGACAACATAACCAATTATCTATTAACAAGTTCATGATATTTCGTGAATACACCAACTGCATAACACCGCCTCTGACCACAAACCCAAACGGGTTGTTCTCTATTCGCCTACAGTCTTAAAACAACATTTCATGGTCTGTTGACCCCGTTGATTGCGCAATGATAAACCACCCAAACTGTCCATCCCTTGTGACAGGTGTTAATTAGAGGGTACGAATTAGAGAATGTATTCTACTACAATAAGCCTATTATTCCCTGGCAAGGGTTCACTTTTATGACATGTAATAAACCCTGTCCAGTCAGTCAGTGGGTCCGGTAAAGTTTTATTTAATCCATGAAGTAACGTAGGTCTATGTAATTTGTGTTTATGCAAACGGTGACAGTTCAAAAACTATTTTCGCTTCTGTGGATAATAAGTAAAACATACACTTAAAATGGTATTTTGGAAAATGCTAGCCATACCAAGGGCAAATATAACAGTCAATATCAATTTTTGACACTTAGAACAACAAGGATGCAGATCCAATTTTGGAATTTTTTGGAAATATGATATTTCCAAATTGGAAATTTTTGGAAATCACCATTTTTTTTCTTATGTGAGTTGTGTTTTACGCTGCTTTTAGCAATATGCCAGCATTACAGCCAAACTAACTCATTTCTGATGAATATGTTTGTGTCATGTTAGGGTATCTGCAACCTACCATCCAACATTGGGATAAATGCTTATATAATGTTAGTAACAATCTTGACTGAGGCTATATATCCCCGTCCATCCATCCTTGCTGACCAGCCTGTCAGCTCTAAGAAAGAGAATATGTGGTGGGGATGGTCATGTGATCGGGTCAAACAGGGACATACTTCACAAGATTGCAGTGGTGCGTTTCCCATTGTTCAAGTGGTAATGTGGGAAGTGTTGTTTTGTTTTGAAGTTTTAAACTTAATTCTAGGGCATTTCCACACAAGGATTGAAGAAAGAAGAAATGAGTAGTGTTAGATAGGATAAGCACATAGATATACACATATAGAATTTTGGTCCCGCCATTTTTAAACGATATTATGATCATCAAAACATTGTCGAATCCGGCACCTGTCTATTCCGTATTCCGGCACGACTTTCCGGTCCCATGAAGCAATTTTAACTGTAATTAACACTGTCTAAACCGGCATGGGAATGAGCAGTGCAATCAAGGACCCATAATCCAATACTCTAATTAATCCTCGCTAGATAATCAGGAAGTAGTGATTGCGTGGTGAATCAAACACTCTAAGCCCGCATGGGTATGAGCAGTCCAGTCAAGGTCCCTTAATCCAATACCCGTGAAGGTCCGGGTTAGAATGAACCTTCAGTAACCCATGCTTGTCGTAAGAGGTGACTAATGGGATCGGGTGGTCAGGCTCGCTGGCTTTGTTGACATGTCATTGGTTCCCAATTGCGCAGATCGATGCTCATGCTGTTGATCTCTGGATTGTCTGGTCGAGACTCGATTATGTACAGACCGTCGCCATATAGCTGGCATATTGCTGAGTGAGGCTTAAACTAAACTCACTCACTCATTCCCTTAATTCAATACACTCCTCTCAGTACACTAGATAATCAGGAAGTAGTGATTGCACGGTGAATCAAACGCTCTAAGCCGGCATGGATATGAGCAGTCCAGTCAAGGTCCCTTAATCCAATACATTCCTCTCAGTATGCTAGATAATCTGAGGAAGTAGTTATTGCACAGTGAATGAAACGCTCGTAGGATTGCCGTGGTTATGCTTTCTAAACTCTGAAATTTGATAAGATTAACTCTCTCACTCATGAATGGTTTTTGACTGCCCGCAGCAAAAATGTACCTATCTCTGGTCCCATTTTGCAAGAAAATGCTCTTCAATTTGCATCAAAATTGGAAGTTAAAGATTTTAAAGCATCAAGTGAATGGCTAGCCTCATGGAAGATGTGCCACAACATCAAACAGTTCAAAGTTATGGTGAAAGTGCATGTGTCAATCAGTGTGACGTAGACAACTTTAAGTCCCGCCTTTCTTTTTTGATTGATGGGTACTCACCTGAGGACGTTTTCAACTGCGACGAAACGGGTCTTGTGTTTCCTACGTTACCTGACAAGACACTGGCTACTAAGACTGATGCTGCTAAAGGTGGCAAAATAATAATTATCTGTCATCAACATTGTTTTAATTTGTTGCACATTTGCAAAATATCAAAAGCATTATAGAGATAAGGAGATTGACGAATGTGAGTGGCAGCCATGTTGGAAAATAATCGTCAGTGTCTAATCCGGCATCCTGTCTAAACCGACATTTTATCTTTTTCCCGTCGGGTGCCGGTTTAGACAGGTTTCACTGTACTTTGTTAGACCTCTTTGCCCTGCAATACACGACTGAATGCGCCCAGGTACACTACCGATCAAAGTTGATTGGAAATTGTGTTACAGCGTATCCCTATATCCGACCACTTCTTTCTTCATAACCCTTAACATTTCTAAGTTCTTTTTGGTTTATTCTGTCCTTCATTAGTCCCCACACATTCTCAATAGGGTTAAGATCTGGGTTGTAACTGGGCCAGTCTAAAACATTTTTGTCCCAACAACCACTGTTTTGTGTAGCCTGCAGAGTGTTTTGGGTCGTTATCATGCTGGAAATTCCAATTATATTCATACAGTATTCAGGCTGTTGGAAGGAGGTGATAATTTAAGATGTCAACATATTGTTCCTTCGTCAAATTTCCAATGAAAATACACAAAGACATCACGTGATGATGTCCCACCCCACATGTGAAATTTGGGGTATGTTTTGGGCATTAGTAGATAGGTTTCACGGTATCTTTTGTCCAAATTGTCACACAGTTCGGAAAAAGTCAGTCAGAACTTTCATCAGAAAAGAAAACATTATCCCATTCTTGATTTTCGTAAGCCCAACACCAGTTAAATAAAAAATCTTTCATTTTGTTCATCTTTCATCAATGGTGAGGGAATTCCGCACTTTTTCACCCAGTTAAGTCTTTGTAATTCTTGTCTAACAGTTTCATTACATACCTGAGGACTTCCTCTATTAATCATCTCATTTCTGATATTCTCAACGCTTTTCAATTTTTCCCAACTCACAATCTGACCAAGTCGCTGACGATCCGTAGTACTGAACTTCCTTGGCCTCCCTGCCCATATCTTGTGCTCAATCCCAACTCCTGACTGAATATTCTCCAAAGTTCTGTATGTTGTAGACAGAGGAATGTCATGTCTACTAGCTAACCCTTTTGCATTAGTCACATCCCTTTCAAAATCATCTAGAACCAGCTTTCTTTTCTCTTCTGCTGTCAAATCTGCCATGCCAACAAAGGAAGCTGTCTTCCAGACCAGGGGAGATAACTCTTGGTTCATTAAGGATCATTCTGAAGCCTTCAAGAGTTGCCTTCCATATTGAGTACCTTACTACATAATGTAACACCTATTTACAACTTCTATTATCAATATTATGAAAGAAATATTTCTTCAATAATTTCTAGGAAAACTGTACATGCTGGTGTGTACAGTAGAATGCCTTGAAGCTTGTATCATACTTTGTAAAGAACACCCCTTGTTTGCACCCACCATATTGGTTTCAGGTCAGAATATGCCTTCAGCAGCTAAAACTCAAGATTGATAATTTTATCAAACAGGGTCATTTGGTCCATAATCATATGTTTACCAACTGTTGCCATGAAGTTGGAGTATTGATGAATAGGGTGTTACATGACAAACAATTTCACAAACAAACATATTTGGTTTCTGTTGACAGCAAAGTGCCAGCTTTCCTGAATGTGGTGGACATTGCTGGTCTAGTGAAAGGTGCTCATGAAGGCAAGGGTCTTGGGAATGCTTTCTTGTCCAACATCAAGGCTTGTGATGCTATCTTCCATGTTGTTAGTAAGTAAACACCAGTGCAGAAACAAATATGATATTGCTCAAATTTATGTCACTATATCTTCAGCTCAACTGGTAGAGCTTGAGCTTGAGCTTATGCACTGGCGCACAATGATTTCTAAAGATACCAATTAATTTCGGATAAGTTTGGTAAATGGATAGTCCCCTCTGAAAGACAGATCATGTTTGAAAAAGAGCAAAATCAGTCAATACTAAGTATGTGTCAGGTACAATCTGGAATTGCCTTGGTCACAGGGCAGTAAGTTTGAAAACTCTTGGTGAAATTATGTTTTAAATTTGGACAAGGTATGATAAGGGTGGTTTTTGGCCCACAAACAGAATTGGCTGAACACATGTTATTTGTTTAGAGACAAGATGGCTTTGCATAAAAAAGCTATTTTTTAAATGATCTGAGGCCATAATTTCAATGCAGAGGGGCCAAAAATGGGTTTTATCAGTTCCCATGAAAAAATAACAAGAAATCTGAAATATCAGTGTGCCATAATGACTTATATACAACTATAAGTTTATTTACATACAAACAGTGTCAGTTTTGCAACAGGTATTCATGATGAAGAAACATGTCAACATCAATCACAAGGTTTTAACTTCAAGGGGCCCAATTAGGGTTGCAATACATTGTGGACAGTAATTCAATTACTTGCCAATTGATTACCAAAAAGCTCATTATTCACAACTTTCTTTGCACACATAAACTATAGGTCAATTTTACAACATGTACTTATGATAACCAATCATGTCCCACGAAAAATCACAGGGGGCCCATTTTAGGTCTAATTACATTTTGGGCACAGCTTGATTTTAACAAGTTAGTGTTAAAAGTCAGTATTCACAACCGGTTTTAGCAAATATACAGTAAACATCTCATTCACAACATGTTATTACAATAACCAATCATGTTGCACTAAAAATCACAGGTCTTGACCTCAAAGGGGCCTATTTCAGGTGAAATTACATTCTTGGCACAGCTTGATTTAACACCATGTAAGTGTTAAAAGTCAGTATTTACAACATTCTTGCAAATATATACAGTAAACATCTCATTCTCAACATGTTGTTATAATAACCAATCATGTTGCACTAAAAAGCACAGGTCTTGTCCTCAAATGGGGCCTATTTCAGGTGAAATTACATTCTTGGCACAGCTTGATTTTAACACCATGTAAGTGTTAAAAGTCAGTATTTACAACATTCTTGCAAATATATACAGTAAACATCTCATTCTCAACATGTTGTTATAATAACCAATCATGTTGCACTAAAAAGCACAGGTCTTGACCTCAAAGGGGCCTATTTCAGGTGAAATTACATTCTTGGCACAGCTTGATTTTGACACCAAGTAAGTGTTAAAAGTCAGTATTCAAAAATCTTCAAAAAGTAATTATTCACAACTCATTCACTGCAAAGATATATAAAACATCCACTTTCCCTCTTCATCCACATGGTCATCAATCTCTGAATCAGTTTCTGAATCACTGCCAAGAACTGCAGCATTCAACCGTGTATCACTAGAGTTGCTGGAAACTGGCATATTGTTTTGGTGTCTGCCATACCCAGATCTTCTCTCAACTGAAAAACAGATGACTTTATATCAAAAGAAAATTCTGTTTTAAAACTTTGATATTATAAATCTATTCAAGGGTAACATTACTTATTTATTTTCAAATGTCAGTAGTCTGGTTTGAAGGCTTATGCAGATTTAATCACCACTGAGACATCAGTATTTCTGAAATTCGGTCACATTAAATTAGAAAATTGAAGAAAAAAATATTGGTTATTATTATGCTTACCTTCCACCTCAAGTTTTAAGTTCTTCTGAAATCAGTCCAAGCAAATTTCTCTTATCTGAAAACAAATATTTGAAATCATAAAAGAATTATCAATATGTTCAAGAAATTGGTGCTTTCTAATTTTTCTAATGCTAAACATGTCAATAGTATAGTTATATAGGGAAGGGAATTGACCTCCAAAAGCATAAGCAATTGTTGAGGCCACTTTTTGATCAATTATAGATATAAGATAAAAACAACTGTTAGAGCACATGAAAACAAAGGTAATCAGTCCTCAGTTTTAATATGACAATTGAAACCAATAGTCATTGATTCTGTAAACATATTTTTAAGAAGAAATAGTGAATGCTTTAATTGATTATGTGATTTGGTTATTGGTAATTGACTGGCAGCCCACAAAATATCCATAAACTAATTATTTGTTTGATCAGTGCACCACTAATTAACAGCTCTGGACAGTTTGTAAATATTTACTTAAAGAAATTACCTTGAAACAATGCTTACCTTCTACAAAGTGGAAAAGTCAGTGTCTTCAGGCTTAAACAAGATTTACATGATGTTAAATCAAGTTTGTTTGAACAGTGTAAGTTACATTACCAAACTTAAGAAAATCTTTTTACAAAATTTGTATTTCATGTGCACAAGTTTGGTCAGCCAATTTACAATGTTTAACTTAACTTTTGAAGAAAAAAAAGAAGAAAAGAAAAAAAACATTAGGATTTGAACCTGAATGTCTGATGACAGAAAAAAATTGAGAGGCCATCACTGTAACCACTAGGCTACAGATTCTACTGTTACTATTTGTCACTTTAAGCTTATATATTACACTTTGCAACAATGTGTCACTTGACGTCTGCTTGCTTTTCATAATCTGCTAGACCTTGATACAATGTTCTTATTCTAACAATATTAAATGTAGCCTGATATATCCTAGAAAACATCAAGCTACATTATTTTTGTTAAAATGTGTATGTTTATACACAGTTACATCCTGTGGAATGCCAGTGTTATTTGACAGTGACAGGTGACACAGAGGGGTTTGCTAAACAGATGATAGAGCAAATATGATAAAATTCTAGCATAATTACAAAGATTCTCACCTTTAGAATGCTGCCTGATCACATTGTGAAAAATCTTCTGATGTCTTCTTATTTTTCCAGCAGTGATCAACAGGGTCTCCAAAAAACTACCCTTGTTTACCTCAAAGTAATCAGCCTTGAGAGTCCCTTACGATATTGAAACTTTTTAATAAACATGTTTGATAAGTTCATTTTAGTGCTCTAAAACATTCAAAATAGTAATGAATCATGGTACAGTTGTGTAAATGTGACAGATAGTTTTCAGAGATATTACTTTACGCCAATGTTTATTTTTGAGATGTTGTATGGGGCAATTTCATACAACAGAAAAAATGTACTTTTTTAAACATTTTGATATGAGCAAAAGCGTGACCCACCACAATTTTTTAGGAGTGCATTCAAATTTACTCTCTTCATGTGTGGTGAAAAAATTGGGATGGGTCAAGCTTTTGCTCACACTTTTTTATCACTCTGAAAATATGAAAATGCAGGTTTTTCGAAGATATTGTAAAATAGGTTAACTTTGAGGTCTTCAAAGAGGAAAAAAACAGCACTAAAACATATAAAAAAACCATATGGAGGTAATTTCAACAATTTATTTAGCATTTTTTATGCTAAAATTATCATGTTGTAGAACTTTGAATATCATGAAATTTTGTGGGCCAATAAGGGCCTTTATCATATCTTGTCCTTTACTGGAAATATGACAGTAAGATATTTTTTAGAATCCTGTGTCCTTTAGTAGTCATGGAATGGTCATAAAAAAATCATAATGAAGTTATTATTGCTCATATTTCCTATGAGCACACATTTTACGAGTGATCCCTAGGCAGTTTCTCAGACTCTATTTGCTGTGCTTTCTCCAATTCGTAGAAGATGGCAAAATAGTAGATTTTGTCAACATATACCCACCAAACCAATTTTGAACTGCAGCAGGCAAACTCAGAATTGTTCTCACCGTCTGCCCAGAAACAAGGGACAGACACTGCCTCACTGCTATATCTGAACTACCTACCCTATTCAAACCAGGCAACTCTACTTGCAAGTGTGATGCCATAGACCACTGCGTTGGCAGCAAGAAATGCGTTCTCTGGAAAAACAAAGATATACCCTATACACCCCCGGAGTGACTCCCACTAGAGGTTCCAGAAGAAAAATCGAGATCCTCGACTGTATCTCGAACATAGAGAACCTGTATGACAGCGACTGCCTCCTCTGGTGCCTACGATACAAACGCATACTCGACAATTTGGTAGACAATTGTCCATGCGAGAGAGATTCTTGTATCCTCCAGCAGCTAGATGGGAAAGCACACCCACCATTTGGACGGGAAAATATTTGGCATACCCCATTGCCAAAATACGGTGGACCAAAGGATATGGAAGCGGCAGAACCGCCATGCAACAAACACAGAAAAGCTGTAGACGTTCCCGCGGAATCTATGTATGCAAAAAGTTTGCAGAAGCCAAATACAAAGGAGAGAACAGCCTGTTGCTGCTATTCTGTTTGCTGACTGGAGAAACTATGCCGGTATATGGCTACAAGATACAAGAAACTATTCACCGAGACAACGGTGGAATAGAAAATCTATGGTTGGTTTGTGGGCTGTTTCTTTGTAGGCTTGGCAAATTCTGCTACTCACCCATTTTGGAAAAGAAAGACGATCAACAAGTAGGGTTTGTGTTTCCCAAATGGGAAGCCCTACTACCCGACAGGATGTCCATAGAGCATTGGCTCAGGCTTCTTTCCAAGGGAACTTTTGAACTTGATTCATCGCCAGAGTATAGAGAGGCCATACAGATACCTGAAGGAACATACACCTGTAGAGGGTTTGCTAGAAGGCCAAAAGGTGGGTATATCTTCTACATAGAGGCCGAGAGAGCCCCGCCGACAGTAGGCCTAGGAAACATTCCTGTTGGAGAACTCGTACCAGTCTGCAGCAACAACCTATCGAGCCTCGTACGGGACCTTGGTGGGTATATGTTCTTGCAGATGGTTAGCAAACCTTTCCTCTGTACCTTCGGCAAGACAATTTCCAAGGAGGACAGGAAGGCAGTCGGTATCGTCCCCGCCAAGCCTGGAGACTGGAGAAAAATAGCAAACGATTCGGTCT